AGCCTAAATGTCCAAATCTTTTTAGTCTTGACCTTTGCCTGTCATCCTAATGCCAAAGACACACTCTCCTTCCCCCATCACTATCCTTCAGACATGAAATTTCTACCACTGTTCATGGGGCATCCATTCCCAATCTCCCACCCTCATCCCTCCTGGCCACTGTAGCTGTGCCTCCAGTGACGGCTTAGGCTGGGAGATATAAGTTGAAGGAACGACTTTGGTCCTGGGCATCTTTGAAAAGGTTGATTCAGTCCAGAGTTTTCCTAGATTGAAGGGTCCTATCAAAGACAAGTTGATTTCTCACGTCACGTCAACACAATTTAGAGAACTCACCTGTCCCCGAAACCCAACCCATGATGCTTCTTATGCCCAGCGTCTTGTGAATCAGGAAGACAAGTCTGGTTATTTGATGAGTTAGACACTGAAACAGTAAAGTAGATGATGGGTTATAGATCCGAAGCCATGTGAGAAGTCTGAAGTAGAATTACGTTTCTAAATCTTCCACAGGAAGAGAGAAAGGGAATACTAACTCTCCAGGAAAATGTCTAAGGAGTCAGGGATTCTCTTCATTTCCACGGCCCCACATCAGCGTCCGCTCACACGCTTCCAAAGCCCCCTCATCTTCAGGCCTTGTTAGCACTAGAGAAACACATTTTGGAGAGAGAGCTAATTCTCCAGCGGAGCATGAGACCAGAAACCTTAACCCCATCATTTTACCTTTCCTAAGAGCCTCTCTCTTCCCTGGGCCCCCCAAATCCAGCCCTAAAATATAAGAGAGAATGCTCACCGTGTTTGGTTGTAAGAAGTGATAATTAACTCCAAATAAACTTGTCCTACTTCAAAATTAGGCAAATTGTCATACCATTTCCCCAAAGTTTTTCATTTCTCAAGAGAACAATTTTCATAAGAACAGGCAGTTCTTTGAAGGCATTAGAGTTGTTCATTGTATATTTAGGCAAAGGAGGCCCTTCACTCATTTTATTCCTCTGTTCAGATACCCTGGAGGTCTCAGCACCAGGATGCTTTTAGGAGATGATTAATGCAACTCTTGGCCGAAGGTGTTTATAGTCTTCTTAGCAACGCCCAGGTCCTGGCTGTGGTTCTCTAGGGAAGTGAAGCAGCAGTTTCCCCGTCCCCACCCCCAGCTCCCAACCCACCTGGGAAATCCAATAGAATAAGGCACTGGCATGACCAGGGAGACGAAGCTTCCTCTCTCTCTGTAGAGTCTGGGTCCGTTCTGGCGTGATGCCCCGGACGTCTCCCTAAGCATCTCAGAAGCCTCCCCGATGATCTTCCCAAGTACCAGGGGAGGCTGGAAGGACACAGAAGCTCTGGGGTTCAGGCTAACCTGGTTTCCCAGGACTCCTGCAGAGTCCTGCTGTGACTGGATTTCCAGAATGAAGCCCATTAATTCTCCGTGTCAGTGCTGAGCCATCCTATGTGCGAGAGTGGAGATTGGAGAATGAAGAAGAGGAGGAGAGAAAAACACCTTTATGTTGCTCGGATGCAGGATAAGCTACTGTGGGGGGTTTGAGAAGGTGCCCACACATTTTTTACCCCTCCTCCCTTCAAGTATGGGGGTCTCAATCCCACTCCCTGGACTCTTCTAACAAGCAGAATGAAGTGGAGGTGACAGCGATTGATTTTGGAGACTGAGTCGTAAAAATGTACTGCATTTTCCCATTTCTTTCTCCACCAACCCCTCATCCAATCCTTTGCTCTGGGGAAGCCAGGAGCTGTGCTACAGAGACACTCACCTTTGGAGAAGCCACATGGGGGGCCACAGAGGTCTCTGGTAACAGCCGTGAGGGCGGCCTTGGAGTGGATATCCTCGCTTTAATCACGCCTGGAGTGACCACAGGTTCTGCCAACACACTGAGAGACCACGAGGCAAAACCACACAGTTAAGCTGCTCCTGACCTCCTGACCTCCAGGAACTGAGACAACAAATGCTGTTCTAAGCTGCTGAGTTTGGCGATAATTTGTTATTTAGCAATAGATAATAATACAGCCACTGTAACAGAGGGACGTAAAAAGTACCGAGGCTCCGACAGTGTAGTTTATTTCTGTCCTAAGGAATATTCCAAAGAAAGGAGGTGGTCCTGCTTCCTGGAGTCATCCAGAGACCCGGGGCCGTTTCCTCTCGCTGTTTGGCTGGGTCCTAACATGTGTTCCTTGTTCATATGGGAGAAGTTGACTTACCAGTTACATAGCTTATGTTCCAACCACAGGGAGGGTACAGAAGAGTGGAAAGACAGCATTTTCCTTGTTGGAATTCAAGCTTTACTTTTGTTCCCATTCCACTGGTGAGAGCTCAGTCACAGGTCACACCTATTTACCAAGGAGACTGAAGAATGGACTCTGGCTGGATGATCAGGGCAGGTGTAGAGTAGCAGGAGGAAGTGGAGAATGGAATCTGGAGGATGGACACCCAGCGGTGTCCCCACATCCCAGTCCCCGGGTTGGCACCTTCTCTGTGACTCCTAGCTACACCTCTCCAAGGGCTCCATTTTCTCACGTATAAAGTGAAGGATTGGATAAACTTGGTGGTTTTCAACCCCCCCCGCCTTTTTTAAAAGCAGAGTTTTGTTTATTAAATAATATTTAAAAACAGACACTGTATGGATAAGAGAAATAAAAACAGAGCTGGTCTGTTTGAATCACGTGGGGTTTTTCTCTCCGCCCTCGCCCCCCCTCCTCCACCATGAAAAGCTATTTGAAGCACTGGACTTGTGTGTTGCACAGATCAGAAAGTCACCGAATGAGAGCCCCTGGCTGCCTTCCAGGTCTGGTATTTTTGAGGCTGTGATCACTCACCTGTGTTCCCAGCACTGGGCTGGATCACAGCCACATCTTGCCTGGTCTCTGGGAGCTTGTACCCACGTGTATTGACAGAGGCAAATGGAATGAGCCTCTGCCTTGGGTCTCCAGGCTCACCTCACTTCCTTTCATCCTTTTTCTGATCTTGTGACATATCTCTCCTTTCTCCTAAAGCAAGGGAGGGCCCCCCGTCCCTGGACCAAGGGACTAGGTGCCATCCAGTGGATCTGGGAAGCAGTGTTCTGAGATGCCAGTACACCACAGGGAGCCTCCTGTGCCACCCGTCTTGGGGATACAGATGTGGAATATCTCGGAGCACACTGTCTCCCTCCCCGGGCTAATAATTTTGCTAACCCTCTTGTCCTCTTCTGGGCTGCCACTGGCTTCAGCTGGATTAGGAGCTCAGGCTCCTTGCAGGTTCTAGACAGAGAATGTGGACCTGCTGAGCCCGGACCCCGTTTGTGGGTGAGCTCCAGGGACCGAGGGGAGAGAGGCCTCCCTGCTCTAATTTCCCCCTACCCCAGTTATTCTCAGAATCCTCCAGAATGCAAACTGCCGCAGGGAAAGCTACCCAGGGGGAAGGGGGTTCCTTTCTTTCAGTCCAAGGACCACTGGAAGCTGGCTCCTGAGCTGATAAACAGTCCCCTCCCCGCTTCCCGAGGTTCCTTCCTGGGAGACTACGGGGCCAGCCGCCTTCTCCCAGGCCAGCTTCAGATGCTGCGGGGGAATTTGGCAGAGGGCTTAAGGACCAATTCCAGCCCATTCTGAAGGCCGCTAACCATCGCCCACAACCAACCTTCTAAGAATGGCTGGGAGCAGGGTGGGGGTTGGGAGGAGCCGAGGGCCAGTGGGTTGCCCTGGCCTCTTAGGCTCAGGACTGTCTTCTATTTCTGGGTAGGATGTTATGTTCCTGAAGGCAGGTTCGTGTGCCCGCTGCACCATGAGGCCAAACAAACTGAAACATGAGTTTGGAGCAGAGAAAGATTTATTGTAAGGTGGAGCAAGGAGGACAGGGTGGCGCATGCCCAAGAAAATGCCGAACTCCCCAGAGGGTGTCAGCAGAGCATGTTTAACGGCCGGGTGAGGGAGGAGGGTCACAGGGTGTGTGATCAGCTCTTGCACAGTCCTCTGGTTGATGCTGGGGTAACAGGGAGGTCAACACTATCAACCCACAGGTGCCAGAAGGCCTGGGGGCCACTTGCCCTTGTTCATCAAGTAGTTAATTTCTTCCCTTTGGTGGTGGTTTCAAGCAACTGAAAAACTCAGGAAATATATACATAAGATGCTAATATTATCTGGGTGCTGCAGGGGGGAGCCACAGCAGAGGATGTGGGGGAGGGGTCTGACCCTGGGGGGCCCCACAGGGTCCTGCTTCCTCACAGTTAGGATGCAGTGGTGCAGGGTTGATTCACCCCAGAGTTGGAGGCAAATGATCTTAAGGAGTAAGGCAGGTGCAGTGGAAGAAAATAGTGGTGGCTAGTGCCAGGCGTGTCCTTGTCTCAGGGAGATGGCCCCGACTCGGGCTGTCAGCAAACATTAGCTCACTGTCCCTTTCAAAACCCTAAGAGAGATTGGAAATCCCAGCATTGTGTCAGCGTTTCCCAGTTATTGAAACTTGGCACAGAAGACAGGATGCCTTCTGCTGGTGAGTTCTGCTCTCCTATGTAGAGCTCTTGCCCAATCTTCCTCCCTGGGGTGTGTGTCCCTAGTTCTTGGTTTTTAAAATCAACATAAAGATTAACCCTGGCATTTTAAATTGGTGGCTCAGTGTTCACGGGGAAGGGTCTTCACAGCGCATCAAGGGGCTTTGACCAGTTTCCTGTTGCTGTTGTAACAAATCACCAGAAACGTAATAGCTGAAACAATGCAAGTTATTATCTTACAGTTTTGCAGATCGGAAGTCTGACTTGGGTCTCACTGGGCTAAAATCAAGTCGTCACCTGGGCTGCCTTCTTCTCTGGAAGATGGAGGGGAGAATCCATTTCCTTGCCTTTTCCAGCTTCTAGAGGTGCTAACGTCCCGCAGTTCACAACCACCCCCTCATCCTTGTCTTCAAAGACATCACAGGGTCCAGTTCTCACATCGAATCTCTCACCACAGTTTGAAAAGACTTTCTGCTTCTAAGGGCCCATGTAATTAGACCCACCGGATCCGCCAGTGAAACCGCCCCACTGCAAGGCTGCAGTTCTAATCACATCTGCATCTAATCACATCTAAATCCCCTTTGCCACAGGAGGGCACAAATTCACAGGGTTTAGGGCATGAACAGGGCTCTTCCCTAAACTTCTCCATGTTTTGCTCCTCCTCCTTCCTCAGAAAAGTTCTGAGGATACAAACCTATGGTAAACAGGGTTTATCTTTCCTGTAACCTGGCCCACTCTTTCTCCATTCAGGCTTCCTTTTCCTTAAGGGATCTTTTTTTTTTTTTTTTCTTTTTTCCCCCCTCTATTTGCTTTTTTTTTTAATTGAAGTATAGTTGGTTTACAATATTATGTAAGTTTCAGGTATACAACATAGTGATGCACAATTTTTAAAGGTTATATTCCATTTATAGTTATAATAAACTATTGTCTATGTTCCCTATGCTGGACAATATATCCTTGTAACTTATTTTATACATAGCAGTTCATACCTCTTCTTCCCTCACTCCTGTCTTGCTCCCCCTCCTTCCCGGTTCCCACTGGTAACCACTAGTTTGTTTTTTATATCTGTGTCTGCTTCTGTTTTGTTATATCCACTAGTTTGTTTCATTTTTTAGATTCAATGTGTAAGTGATCATATAGCATTTGTCTGACTAACTTACTTGGCATAATACCCTCCAGGTCCATCCATGTTGTTGCAAATGGCAACATTTCATTCTTTTTTGTGGGTGGCTGAGTAGTACTCTGCTGTGTGTATATATATGTTCGCCACATCTTCTTTATCCAGTCACCCATCCATGGATATTTGGGTTGCCTCCATATCCTGGCTATTGTAAATAGTTCTGGTATGAACTCTGGGGTGCGTGTATCTTTCTGAATTAGTGCTTTCATTTTTCTCAGATAAATACCCAGGAGTGGAATTGCTGGGTCATATGGTGGTTCTATTTTTGGTTTATTGAGAAACCTCCATACTGGCTTCCACAGTGGCTGCACCAATTTACACTCCTACCAGCAGTGTACGAGGGCTCCCTTTTCCAAGGGACCTGTTTGAGTGGGGCCCTTCGGCGCAGCCCCGCGGCGCCCTCTGCAGGCAGCGGCAGTCTGCTGCCAGCTCCGTGTGCTGCTCGGGGCCCACACACAGCAGTGTTTGCTCACCGCCCTCCCTGGCAAACTTCTCAGCTGGGATTAATTACAGGGTGAGGGCCTGGGCAAACATCCCTCCCTTTCCCCAGGCCCCAGGGCCTGCCCTGAGGGTTTGAGTCAACCTCAGGGGGCAGCCAAGGCCGGGGCAGGCAGGACAGGTTGGCCAGATGGGCTTGCGTCGCAGCTCCCCAAAGGCTCAGCCGGCTGGAGGCACAGGCTGCATCGAACGAGAGCCTATTTATTCCTGTTCATTTTCAGGGCCTTTGCTTAGGTCCAACTAGTCAACTGCTCTAGAACCGGATGCCAGTTTTGGCAAGTGAGAGTGAGACCTCCCTGTGACAGGTGTCACCCTCCACCCCCTTGGAGGACAGGAGGACCGATTCTGTGTGGCCACCGGGCTGTGCCCCTTCCTTCCTCCCATGACCCATGTGGGTCCCCAAGACACACACACCCCCTTACATGGTGGAGGTAGATGCGTGGCAGTCTGATACTTGTGCACGTGTTCTGGAGCCAGAGAACCTGGGTTTGAATCCCAGCTCTTCAAGCTGCTCACTATTTGTGTGTCCTTGGGAGAATTACTTAACCTCAGTTTCCTTGTTTCTAAGCAATGACAATGACACCACTTCACGGGGTTTTTAACGAGGATTAAATGACTTAATATCTGTAAAGACAGAGGAGTGTCTGGGCAGAGTCATAATGTGGCTTTGTTAAATAATAAAAAAATTTACTATCTGCTCTGGGAGGAAAATCTGGAGGCTGTTATTTGGTTAAATATACTTTGGTAGCTATACTTCTGTCCTAGAAGTTAGAGCTAAAATCTTAAGTCCTTCAATTTGAAAGGAGTCTGGGGGGATTTAGCTGAGGTACATTCAGACAACAAAAATAGGTCTGTGGCTGTGGGTTGGGTTACATTAGTAGTAATATACTTACTAGAACAAAGGAGGTGACACCTCTATTGTAGTCTACCCCGGTCGAGATCATATACCCAGATCATAGGTATAGTCCATCCTTCTAAGAGCCCAAGTTATTTCTGGGTTCATTTTAGTTATGCGTAAGTCCCCCTGCCCGCGGTTCTGACAGGGAATCAGTGCGGTTTAATTAGAGTCAACATTCCTAGCGAAGCCCTCACTCTACGCAAGGATGCCAAGGATTAAAAGAACAGGACCAAGCACTGACTGATCTTAAGAAAGCTCAGGAGACAGGAGCAGAAGATAAAGCTATCCAGGCACAATTGCTGTAAGTCAAACGAAAGATAAAGGCACAGAAACATAGAAGAGAAGGCAGCTTATACAAAAATGTTTGCTTAATAAGGAATTCAGCTTTGCTAAAATACGCATTGGTCGTATAAATGCAGTAAGAAAATTTAAAGGTTTTGTCTGTTATGTACAATCCCTCATGTGTTCCCTCTGCTGTTTCAGCGCCTCATTTACAGAGTAGCGATACTGACTGGGATTCACTATTCATAAAACGGTGTCCCCCCCCAAAAGATAAAATTGTCCCTTAACAGTAATAAAAATTGGAGGTACCAGCCAACAGCTCTCGCTGGTCCCTTACCGCACAGGTCTAGCCTGAAGCACAGAGACAAGTTCTAGTTGCCACAATTAGAAAGAGATGTCAATACTGGCCAGGCTTAGGTGGAAACTTGAACTATGACAAATGCAGACCCTTGGAAACCATCAGAGTCATTAGGCTGAAAGTGAGGGGACACAGGAGAGGCCCCAGAGCTGGCTTGAAACACAGAGCAAGAAGGGGGAGGGATAGCATACATGAGGTCCTGGGTCTAATCCCCAGTAACTCCGCTAAAAACCAAATTACTTCCCCGCCTAAAAAAAAATTTTTAAAAGATGTGCAAGCAAATAAATGCCTATCATCAAACATACTGAAAAGGTGATTTCTTTATGCCTTGTTGGAGAGTGGAAATGGATCACCTATAGAGGCAACTTCTGGCTTTGAGATTCTGAGTTTCTGTACTTTGGGGATGCTTTAGATCTATTAAGTGATGTTCCCCTGTTTTTAAAAATTTCCTCTTATATCTCATTCTTTTCTCCCACTTGGGCATATATTCTGTCCTGAAAACACATCTTTTTAAGAGGACAGATATGGTGGCTGGCAGCTTGGGAGCTGGGGTAACAGAAAGACCATACTATTTTTTCTGGTGGTTGAACCTGTTCTTTGTCTAAATGTACTGAGGAGGTTATGTTACACTCCTGGGAGGCAAACCTGTAAAGATGAGAGGAGGAAGCAGGCATATCACCTCTCTGTACCCCCCCCCCCCCAATTTCTTGCGACCGAGCAAAACCCAAACCTGTGAATGTAGAATTTAAGGCTGGGATGATTTAAGTTAATATTCTGCTCTCCCACTAGAATGGAGGCTGGATATAGAAATTAGGTTGACTTTGAAAAAATAAAGTTATATTTCTTGCACACCTAACCTTGTGAACAGAGACCAATTTTATGCTTGGGAGGTGAAAGTTGTGCTCTCTGAGTCACACCACCAAGTGTTCGCAAAACCTGAATTTTTGTCCTCTGCTGCCCCCGTGTGGCCATAGCTGGAAATAACAAGTTCAAGATTTCGCTCGCAGCAGGAGTGTGAAATCTGACTCCTAAGAACCAGTGGAGGTTTAAAGGCTGATGGCAGCTTATGACCCTTACGAGGGAGTCAGAAACTGGAGCTGTCGCCAGCAAGGTGAGGTCCTCAGGAGAGGGGTGCAGACCTCACACAAGCTGCCAGTGATTCAGGAGGCCCACTTTGTATTCACCATCTTTATTTTTCCTGGAGACACTTGGATCCAGTAAGCGAGTGATTATCTAAAGACTCCCAGCCATGCACCTCTGCAGTTTTGGGCCACGACCAGCACCCTCGGGCACAGTGCCAAGCCTCCCACACCTCTTCCTCCTGTGTTTGGAGTAACAAGTCTGTGGGTTTCTCCCTCAGCTTTTCACACCATCTCTTCACCGTCTGTCTACCCTACCGTCTCGGCACAACTCCACACCATCACACGCGTGCTTGCTGCATCCCTGACTCCCCACATAGGCACAGGACAGAGATGGCCCCTTTGTTCTGATACACGACGGAGGGGAACACTTGAGCACAAAGAGGGGACGGGGCTGTGACTCCCCGGGAGCACCCTGGCTGGAATCCAGCGGCGTCAGGATCCCAGGACCCATTTCTACCCACAGTGCAGCTGCCTTCCCTGGTCAGCTCCCTCCTGGGTGCTCATCACGCTGCCCAACCTCACCCCCCACCCCCTCCTGACAAACAGCAACAGTGGCCTGGGGTCCTGTCTCAGCCCTCTCACTCTCCTGCCCACCGGAGAGCAGGGTTTAGCCAGACCTCCCCCTACCTGCCCCCTGGGCCTCCTCTCTCCTCCTGGGGACCAGGGACCTCCCTCTCCCTCCCCTCAGGCCTCCAAACCCTGCCGCAGCCTGCGGTCCAGGGCCAGGAGCTGCCTCAAGAAGCCCCGGTTGGGGATGATGCCTCGGTGGTCCTTGACCTTCTTGATGGCATCCACGAGGCTGAGGCGGTGGTAGAGCATGAGGTAGGCCAGCACCAAGGTGGCCGACCGGCTGACGCCCACAGCGCAGTGCACCAGGATCCTCCCTGTGAACAGACACAAGGGACGGCTGGGGGACTGTTTGCGGGGGTGGTTGGAGGAGGCGAGGGAGAGGGCTCAGTAGACAGGTGAGAAGGAAGGCAGGCACGTAGTGATGCATGGACACGGTGGTGGGGGGCAGACTAGTGGTGGTAAGAATCCAGACCCCTGGCCAACGGGGGAGCCTCAGCAGGATGAGATAGGGGCCACGTAAACCCCAAAAGGGCTCAAAGGGAGAGACTCACCCCTAGTGTACAACCGAGCCGTGCACCGAGCAGGGCTTCAGCAGATATAGCTGAGTGCATCCAAGGGAAACCCTTTGTGTCTAACCCAGTGCAACCTCAGTCCCCCCTCCCTTCCATCTTGCTGTTTCTTTTTCTTTTTTTTTTTTTCTTTTTTTTGCGAGGGGAGGTAATTAGGTTATTTTATTTCACTTATTTATTTATTTTAGAGGAGGTACCAGGGATTGAACCCAGGACCTCACGCTTGCTAAGCATGCGCTCTACCGCTTGACCTGTACCCGCCCCCCCATTCTGTTTCTATCAACCATTTTGGGTGGGGTGCTTAACAGAGTTTTTATTTATATATACATATTTTTCTGACCTCTAAAGCAAGACGTGCTCGAGGCAGAAATAATTGGAAAGTAGAGAAATATGTTAAGAAGCCCAACACTGAAAAATACATCACCCAAAATCTTAACACCCAGGTGCAACTAGCTCTCTTAACATGTGTGATTATTGCCTTCTTGTCTTTTTATGTCTTGCCTTGAAAAGGTGGCTGAGACAATACTTTTCATTCCTGAGCATTTTGTCATGTCATTAAAAAGTCTCTCTTGCTCCACCCCCGGACCCTTGGGCCTTTCTCTAACTCAAACGTTGGCCCTTCTCCCCTCCTTGCTTCCCCGCCTACCTCCCGGCTGGCTCAGCGCCCGGTGGATGAAGTCTGCGGCTGCCTGAAAGTGGATGCTCATGTCGAAGGCTGGCGAGTCGTGGGCCTCCACTCCCAGGTAGCGGATGCCCAGCCCCTCGTAGGCCTCAGGGGTGCCTCTCCACCTGCTGTGAGAGGCGTTGAGGACGTGGGTGATGCCCAGGCGGCGCAGCTCCCGGTGGTTGCTGGCTATTTCCCTGCATGGAGGAGCAGAGGTTAGAGAGAGGGTGGGGAGGCGGGGCAGTGCGGCCAGAAACCCTTGCCTGTCCCCTGACCACTGCGTGGCCAGCATCGTTGGCTCCAGGACTCAGGGAGGAACCAGGGTGGGCAATGACCCAGAGTCTTCTCCTGGAGCCAGGGTGGGAAGTCCTGGGGAGGTGTTGCCTGGAGGAGAGAAGATGAAGGGAGGAGTGGAGATCAGCTGTAGTAAGATATTGGACTGATGCTCCGAGGCGGTGGGGCTTCGCTTGATCCACGGCAGGACTGACTGATCTGAACTCCACATAAGGAAGGACCAACGGTGGAATATAGCCGAAGAAAGATCGGAGCGCCTTGGGAGAGGGGGATTTTCTTCACACCAGGCTATTCAGGTAGAGAGAGGAGGTTAATGGATAGTCCTGGGTGTGGCAGAGGGGAAGTGGACATCGGCTGGGTGGCTGGACCCTCTCATGTTTGACGTCCCTATTAACTTCGAGTTGACATGATGGACCCTTGCTCCCACATCCCATTCCCGCATTTACGTTAGACTCTCTCAGACACCCAGGATCTCCTTGTGTTTCGCCAGTTATTCCCCATTCATGGTTACCCTGATGTACGACACCACCTTCAGTGTCCTGTGGCCTGTACCCCTCAGCTCAGGGGTGGCCACCTCCTGGCCAGCATGGTCATATCTGTCCAGTGGCCCCGCCTCAAGCAGGAGGAGCGCTAAACTTGAACCTCCACGTCTTGGCTCTGCTACTTTCGACCAGTGGGACCTTGGGCCAGTCCCAGCTTCTCTGAGCTCCAGACTCCTCACAGGGCTGTGGGGATAGTGGTCCCTACGTCACAGGGCTGTCGTGAAGATTAAGAGAGAAAATGCATCTGGAAAACTCCCTGTAGCCACAAAGCCCTTGGGAGATTCAAGCGGGGACGACTCTTCCTTTGCTGCTCCTGTCTCCACCGCCCCATCCCGCAGAACTCCGCACACCCTGAGCTGCACCTGGTCCAGCCTTAGCCTTACTGCCCGCTGCTCCTGGCCCCGACAATGGCCTTTTTTTCAGAGCACAGTAGACGGACAGTCAGAGAAGGCATCTATTATGTCCAGTACATAGCGCCGCACTCAATGAGCCATTTTGCTAAATGAATGACATTATTACTTGAACAGTTTGTCTGTCCAGAACTGGGGAGTCAATAATCCTCTCCAAACTCCCCCAAACTCTCCAGCCTCCACTCTCTGACCACCCAACTCCAATCCTCAACATGGAACCAATGGCATAACTCTGCGCCTCTCTGCCACCCTCTCCTTTCTTTTTGCACACACACACAAGTACATACACGCGCGTGCATGCACACTCAGCCGTGGCCCCAGCCTGCCAGGTACGTACTGGTCTCCGAGGTAGAGGCCAGGCCAGACCTCGTCCGCGTGGTTACAGGCAGTCTTGCCCGTGTAGAGAAGCCTCTCCAACTCAAAGACATTGAGGAAGGGGTGCTGGATGCTTGGCATCTCCTCCAGGGCCCCTCTAGTGCGAACAGGCGACCTGGAGCCACTCCGGGAGAAGCGGGCCATAAATGTCACTGAAGCCCAGAGCCAGTTACCTGGGCACATCTTAGAGGTGGCAGGAACAGTGGCAGCAGTGATGAGGGGTCCGTCCCCAGGTAGCTGTGTCTGGAAGAGGCAGGGATGTGAGACACACCAGAGTGAGGCCAGAGCAGTTGCTTTGCTTTCAGCCAGTGGGGCTGGGCCCTGGGAGAAGATGCTCCAGGGCGGGAAGGTGAGGTCTGGCCCCGCTGGGGCCTCAGATGATCTTCTCCTTGGAGCTGTGGCAGCTCCCTCTCCCTGCTCTTTGGCTCTTCCAGGCCAGGAGGTGGGAGAGTCACATGCTGCTGGGTGTCTTCTCCACCACCCCACCCCCACTCCCAGCACACAGACGTTTGGCATTTGGGTGGCCATGTTCACTGCTGGAGCTCTTGCCTGCCCAAATCTGGGTCTCATCTGCCTGGGGCTGCAGGCAGAGAGGCGGGGGAGCTGGGCTGGGGCTTGGGGGTGGCTTTGGACCCAACCAGAGAGAATGAACAGAAGGACAGCCGCAGCTGGGGCCCTGACACAGCCCAGCCTGCCTCCTCAGTGCCAGAGAGATGCGTGACTTTAACCCATTCCTGTCCTGCCCTGCCTCAGAGATAAGCCTGCCATGAGAAGTGTGTGCTGGGGGACGAGGTGCATGGGGAGTAGCAACAAAGAGAAGAGTAAGTTTTTGAAAAATACTTGCTAAAGGCACGGCACAGGCTCATGGAAGACAGAGCCAGTCTATGTGCGCAACAGGCAAAGCCCCCTCCCGCTCTGGCCAGTGAGCACGTGAGCATCTCTGAGTCCAGGCAGGGCTGGAGTATTGTGTGTGTGTGTGTGTGTGTGTGTGTGTATGCGTGCGTGTGTCTGTGTGGTACGGGTGGGAAGGAGGGTGGGAGGGGGTGGGGGCTGGTAGGGAAGGAAGGGAAAGGGAAGGAACGGAGGGGTACAGCCGACGGCCCGAGGGGCTCAGAGTCTGGAAGTTGGCATCTGT